TCCCGCCGGGCAGTAATACTTAAAAGTCGACGTATTCCTTCACCATATTTTCTATAATTTTCAAGATTTGCTCCCCATCATCTCTGTAAGGATAATACGGAAGAAGTTCCTTATCATAGACTCCGCGTTTCTATTCATTCAAGAGAAATAAAGAAGTCCGCACTTCATTGTAACTGGTCTACAGCAAAACACACAATTTCCAAGCTATGTGTTTCACAAATGCTCCTATTAAAACTGCAGCTTAACTTTACAAAAGCGTGCGCCGGGATCGTAGGACTATTCTTGCAGACAGTTCTATCCATTTATGGTTTAAAACAAAAACGTAATTTATCTTTGTTCTACTTATGTCGTTGCGGTTTTTTCCTTCCCGTTAAACAGTAATTTGAGGTCAGTATGTCTAAGACGCCATTAAAAATAATGCAGACTGGAATACTGTACATGGACATATCGCCCTTTCAACTTGCATTTTTGTTTGAGAAGTACACTAGCTACATCATCTGTGAACATTTCTCGAGTGAAATATTCGATCGGGGATGTCGTAATCGTTTGGAAAAATTTAGAGTTCCAAGCTATGTCCCCGAACGTGAACAAAAAGGGGCAGCAGTCAAAGGTTTGATAAAAGTAAAAAAAGAAAAGAAATATTAGGTATAAGTTCATTGAAAGACTGCATAAAAAACACTTCACTTTTTTTTTCTACTTCTTAGGCTCTTTTGGTGCAGAGAAGGTTGCCTGTTTACATTTATTGCGGATATTTAGTCCCCATTGAATATTGTGGTCAGTGTGAACTCATTTCCATGTCTTTAAGGCTTAAAAAAATTGTTTAGCTTAACCAGAATATTTTGAATATTTTTAGCCTCAAAGATTGAGAGGGAAACGGACGAATCACGTACCCTTATTTCTTTTCTAAAATCTGTGACATTCCACGTGGTTAATGGATGTGCGTCTGTGAGAAGTCGGGCGGTTCCATTATTTCCAAATGCAAATAGCTGATCCATAAACTGTCCTTCGTTAACAAGTTTTGGAGCGCCAATGGTATTTGGGACTGTCACGTCTCTGCAATGGTACTTGAGCATTTGATGAAGTGGATGAGCAGAAGACAGGGTGCGTTTCAATATCACGCAAAATGGCTCCATTAAAAAATGAACCTTGTAAAAGACAATAATCGTTAATCTTCGTGTGGCATATCTGCCTTTAAAACATAAATACGAAACGTTAGCTATGTTGTGTTAATATTTTTATCTCTTCACCATTATTTCGCCCACGAACCTGCTTTTGTTTTAGACGTTTTTTGTGAAACTACTCGAAAGTGCTTTCGGCGAACTTTATACTCTCAATTTCAACCAAACTTGACGTTAATAAGAACGCTTCAAATTATTCGATTTGCCAACGACACAAAGCTGTCTATCACAAACTGAATTTGACCAAATTTCTTGAGCTAAACTTTCGGTTTCGAACTCAGATTGTCTTTTCAAAGTTCTCTTTTCACTCCAAAATAACGATCTAAAAGTTATTTGCCAAATAAAAGCCAGCCGAAGTGGCAAATCTCCAACACGCGGAAATAATGAAACAAATTTCTGGAAGCTTGCTGCCTATACTTTGCAAATTGATGAGCTGAGTTGGAAATAAAGAGCAGCTGAATTGATCGCATCAAGATGATTCAACGAGCCGCCGACTAAGATGGAAAGACTGAACTGGTTTTTTTTTTTTGTTTTTTTTCATTCCTACATTCAGAGTACAAGATAGGATACTGAAATACTGTGGCTCAATACAGAACAGAAGTATCCAAGCTTGCTTCTGTGAACTGTACCACAAGCTCATTTGGTGTTTACCTTCGCTGTTTGACATGAACAGTGTAATCTATGCCAATCAGCGGTGATAAAATATACCTTTCGATAAATCTTTGTTAATTTCATTACTTTATTATTGTATTTTTCTCACAGTTTCTCAGAAACTTATAGCACTCAGTCTGGTTGTAATTTGGGTCCAAATCTATGGGCCAGACTTCCCAATCATGTTAAATTATTGATAAAGAATTTTAGAAATTACATTTATTCAGAAAAAGGAATTTAAACAATTTAATTGATGTAAGCAGTGGGTGCAAATGTCCTAAGTGCTCCGGCAAATTCACTACTTTCTTCATTCTTGGTTAACTTTATTTGTAATTTTATTCGCTTCTGTATTTCTATTACGATAGATAGGCTTTTTTTCTTGTGAATAGTTAGGATTTTTTAAAACTTTATTTGCGCATAGTCCTGATAATTGTAACTCGTTTTAGTTGTTCCCAATTAGCTGCAATGCTAAACCTTGTTGACACGTAAATAAAGTTATCATTATTATAATTTACGCACAGTTTACTCCCTCGGTAAATGGCCCAGTAGTTCGTATTCCCTTTGCTGTCTGCCACAGAGGATGTTTAAGTGACGCCAATTTTTTCTTTGATTCGAGGTTTTGCTCTTGATTACTGAACTATTTGCCAAATTGTACTTAAGGACTCTTTTCAATTTGGTATGGCCTCGATCTGTGCACCGCTTAAACTTCTCCCTTATAATATTGTGTGAAGCTAGGGAAAGTTTTAAAAATTCATAGTAGTGACGTACCTTAGCAAGATGCTCCACAATTTGTGCATATCCGAGATCTGTAACCTGGACATTCAATTTGGCCAACATCCAGTTGTCATCATCTTCAGGAGTATACACAGCTGAATCTGATGAGAAAGAATGATTTTAGCTCAGAAAACTACTCTTATTTGTTATTTGTAAAAAAAAGGCACTGGTGTGTTTTATTACTATTTACTTGCTTTATTTTGTCTATATGATTTTTCCCAACTTAAGAGACAATTAAGAAAAAGCCCGGCTGTTTTAAAATGTAAATCTATTTTTGTCTTTTTTTTCGTTGACATCTATAATTTGCTTTTTGCTTGATTTTTTAACCTACTTTCTTCCTTCAAAGTCATTTTTTTCTGACTCAGAAATAGTCCGATAACTATGTAGCCAATAGCTAATTTCAAAAAGAAGGAGATCAAATCATAATATTGCCCACACTATTTGATTTCTCAAGTACAGTACAGCGAAATAAGGTTAACAAAGATTGTTGCGGAAAGGTAATGGTTTAGTAGATATTAACTTCATAAAATCTTTTAAATACTGAACCTGGAGTGTAATCCATTTGAATGGCCACAGGGACAAGATTATTGGTTTTTGTTAGGAAATTTTCCGCAGAAGCAAACAGAGCAATGGGAGAGAGTGTGTCCCACATTGTCCTATTGGGATCTCTGTCAGTAAGGTCCTTTTCTCTGGGTAGGTCGTCACACAACTCGTAACGAAGAACGTAGACTCGACCTTGATTAATGGCCTGAAAACAAAAAATAAATAAATAAATAAATAAATAAACAAATAAATAAAATAAAAACTGAAATGAAAATGGCAGCTGAGTCAATCTTAGAAGAACTGCTGCCAAGCAGCCATTTGTTTCGTACGCAGATATTTGCGCTAAACACGTCAGCGATGTGCTAAACATGCTGGGAAATACTAATAGTGCGACTACTGGAACCGGCCCTGTTTAAGCAAAAAGTAACCACAGTCAAATCTTAAAAGGGCATTCACGGAGCCCATTTTAGTGTCCTTTTGTTTTTTTGTTTTTGTTTTTGTTGTTGTTTTTTTTTGTTCTGTTTTTTTTTTTTTTAAACAACAAATTAAGGAAAAAATTGAGGCCTAGTGAGGCNCATCCAGTTGTCATCATCTTCAGGAGTATACACAGCTGAATCTGATGAGAAAGAATGATTTTAGCTCAGAGAACTACCCTCATTTGTTATTTGTAAAAAGGAACTGGTTTGTTTTATCACTATTTACTTGCTTTATATTGTCTATACGATTCTTCCCAACTTAACAGACAATTAAAAAAAACCGACTGTTTTAAATTGTAAATCTATTTGTCTTTTTTTGTTGTTGACATCATTCATTTTGTTTTTTGCTTGATTTTTTAACCTACTTTCTTCCTTTAAAGTGATTTTTTTTTCTGACTCAGAAATAATCCGATAACTATGTAGCCAACAGCTTATTTCAAAAAGAAGGAGATCAAATATAATATTGCCCAAACTATTCGATATCTCAAGTGCAGTACAGCACAGCGAAACAAGGTTAACAAAGATTGTTGCAGAAAGGTAATGGTTTAGTAGATAATAACTTCATACAATCTTTTATGTACTAACCTGGAGTGTGATCCATTTGAATGGCCACAGGAACAAGATTATTGGTTTTTGTTTGGATATTTTCCGCAGACGCGAACAGAGCAATGGGAGAGAATGTTTCCCACATTGTCCTATTGGGATC